AGCCAGCATGCTGGCTGGGGAATTCTGGGAGTTGAAGTCCACACATATTAAACTTTGAAAAACACTTTTAGCAGCTAAGGGAAGAAAAGGGGTTTCCTGATTGCTTATAAATGTTAAGCCAGTTATATACACCCAATGCAACCACAACCAGCCAACTACATTTTCACCAAGTATGTTGTATGAAGCAGACCCTGAGTTGGTGATGGCTGGTTGGCTGCACACACTAAAAAAAGTAAGTACATTCAATAACCAGGTTAAGAGTGTCATGCATTATAGTGTCCCCAGAAACAGTTTCTGAGTCTAGCAATATATAAACATGATCAATAAATACAGGTAGCCCTTGCTTAATGGCTGCCCTATTTAGTGACCGCTCAAAGTTAACAACAGCTCTGAAAAAGTAACTACAACCAGTCCTCGGACTTATGACCATCGCTGCATCCTCTGGTCACATGATCAAGATTTGGGTGCTTTGCAACCAGTGGGCATTTATGACGATCGCAGTTTCCCATGGTCACATGATTCCCATTTACATGCTTTACAGCCAGCTTCTGACAAGCAGAGTCAATGGAGAAGCTGGCAGTGAAATAAGTCACAGTCATGTATTGCCTCGCTTAATGACACTTAGTGACAGTTGCCAGTGCCAATTGTGGTTGTTAAGCGAGGACTACCTGTAAATGTAAATGCAGCCTATGAAAAGAAAATATATTCTAAGACACGCCAGCTGGCATGGAATTAATAAGATGCCATTGATGAGGAGGGAAGCACCCAACATTTGCTCAAATTCTCATCACGCCCTATGATTATACCAACACCATTCACCATATCTCTCCATATCTTTCAGCAAACATCCTTGCCTACACCGCAACTATATATCACACTTCATACATTGCTAAAGTTTCTCACTTCTCCCTATTCCAGAATCTCCACACTTTCATCTGGCTGTGACTTTCTCGGTCTTCCCCTTCATCTCCACCCATTCTGTCATTAAACAACCCAGGAGATGTCACACATTCTCGTCTTAACTCCTTGTTCAGTGTTGACTTATTAGCTAAGTATTTCATTTACTTTCAGGCATGGTTTATTTCCATCAGATACCACTCACTGCATTCAGCAGCCAGCCATCAACTCCATATTTTCAGTTTCCATAACTCAACTTCATACATTCTCTAAATCAACAAATATAGAACCAATTATCTTTCTGAGTTCAGATACTTCTCGTGACTCAATGGCTTCTTCAGAGACACACACACACACACCCCTCCAAATCCTGGGACTGGCTCACCTGCCCTTGGAAGTTCCTTAAGTGCAGAAGGAAGAAGCTGGCTTTCTCATAAAGCTGCTCAAGACGTACAAGGATGCAGCCCTGATTTATCCCTCGCTGGGCAGCCGCTATGCCATCCACCAGTTTAACCAACACCTGGAGGACTTCCTGTGTTTTGACTTCATTCTGAAATAGAATCAGCAACTTGGCCATTTTTTTCTCATCTCTAGCACTCTCTATTTCAGTGTTTCTCAATCTTGGCCACTTGACAATGTGTGGACTTCAACTCCCAGAATTCCCCAGCCAGTATGCTGGCTGGGGAATTCTGGGAGTTGAAATCCACACATCATCAAGTGGCCAAGGTTGAGAAACACTGCTCTATTTGCTGGAAAAGGTGGGATCAGATCAGGGGATGTTCTCAAAACCTAACGGGCAGGACTGGAAGAATGTGATTATTTTAGCTGCAGTACCATCAGCCTTTTTGTTTTATATTGCAGAAGAATTTCAGCATCTGAAACAAAATTATCATTAATCCATGGAAACGGTACCCACACATCATGCTTAAAACTGCAACACCTAGTTGTTATCCGCCCCCCAATGTAGACCAGACTAGGAAACCAAAGTTATGCATGCTAATACTACTTTTATTATAAGTTATAGTAACAGAATCTTGCAAGTCTGAATGGGCCTCCCCCCCCCCCCCC